CTTCTTCTCTAGGCCCATAGCTATACAAAAAACAAGACCACCCCTCACCATGGCGCCTCAATATGATTTTGACACGAATCAAGTGAACATATTTCACACTACCCACCCTAGTTTGGGAACTGTCCTGGGTGTCAATATTCACTATTGGCAAAAATGCTGGGTTTAGGTACTTCTGTATGATTTTTGTAGGTTAAGAAAGGGATAAAAGAAGCAGCATAAACTAAAAGCATGAAGCATTTCCTATGCATTATTTTTTTTATTAAAAGCAAGCCACTGGATAATGATGTATTAAACTGGTATATCAGTTTACTATATCAGTATTGTGAGAAATAATTTAGCATAAAACCAGATTCCAATTAAATTTAATATTTATTAAATTAACAAAAGGCAAGCAAACAGCGCTGGGTGCACCGGGAGTCTCTGCTCAACCAAGACGCACACCCCATACAATCCCTGTCTTCGGCTTTTATTGTCCCGGTTCATACATCTCCGTTAACAGGTGGGTCCATGTAAATCAACTCCAAAAAAAATAGGTCTTTTTTGCAGCATGTTCCTTTCACCTCCTGGGGTCGTCTTCGCTCCTACCTGGTGCTGGTGGAATGCAGTCAATAATCCCCCTTGGCTCCTGGTTTTTAATTACCTCAGGCTCCACGCAGGCGCTTTATAAACTCCCCTTTATTTAACATTAAGCGGCCATTAACAGATTCAATGCAAGCTAGTCAAAACAGCACACCAAATGGCAACAAACATGGAAACAAAATTAATTACCTTGCTTTTTCTCCAGGCTCGTAGCTATACAAAAACAGCGAGACCACACCTCACCGTGGCGCCCCAATATGATTTTATTTTGACACGAATCAAGTGAACATATTTCACAAGTATTAAGCTGAGATATCAGTTTAATAACTATTATTTACACAGTATTTTGAAGTATGATATATAATAAATTTAAACTGTTTTCCTCTGCCTTTAAAATTAAATTAATTATCAAGTGGTGTAGACATGTTTGCTTGAACTGCTTATCAGAATTTAACTTTTCAGAAACAACTGTGACACTTGGCTTTGCCAAACTAGATTAAAAAATTGTTCAGAAAGCTTTTTTTGGGTTTTTTGTTCCTACAACCGTTCTCCTGTTTTAGAAAATGAATTATAATGTAGGCCCAAGTTTGTAAAATTATTAGGAAAACTTAGCAGGCAAATAGCAGATTGTAAAAACGGATTTGTTAGTTTAGAGCAGCAGTGCTTGGAAGACCTTAGGTCCTGAGAGAATTTCTTACAATTTGAGAAGTTTGTGTTTCTTAGTGCTTTATTTCTAGCTTATGACAACACACAATGCAAGAATCATTATGTTATTATTCCTGAGATTATTAATCCAGTCAGGAGCCTTTACCGCCCTCATTTATCTTAGTGTATTGATTTGTTGTTATGAGATAGCACCAAAACACATTAGAGTGCTCAAATGCTCTTGAAAAGTCTGTCTAACCCTCGTTAATAAAAGGCTTTCTTCGTTCCCGATGTGGTTTATTTGAAATCACTTAGAATGAGTCAGGTTCATGTGGATTTTTCTCAGAAATCATCTACCACACATACACTCCTGAGTGTGTCTCCCTGGCAAGATTGGTAGATTCCCAACATGGGAATGCTTCAGTTGCCTGTCTGGCTGAGGTGATTGAGCAGTGCCTGAACTCCAGCGCACCCAAAGCAGTTTTGGATGCATTCAGCATGAGACGTAGGTAGCATCAGCTCAGCTCCACTGGAGATTTCAGAACAGATGGCCGCGTTATGGGGAAGGTAACGCCTCCTGCCGCCGCATCGGGGAGTACGAAGCTCAGTAGGCTCCGTCACCTCTCAGCAAGGCCAGAAGCAGTTACTGACCGATCTCACGGGAGGCGTGATGACTGGGACGAGTGGTTCCCGCCTCCTCGGCTGCCTCTGTGCCCCAGCCTGCCTTCTCCAGAGCCGGCTGTGCTTTCACGGGGGGCTGGCGAGGAGGGGCGAGTGGAGGTGCTTGCGCCCCTGAGGAGAGTTAGTGGCGGCAGGGACGCGGCTGTGGGCACGGAGCCTGCCCGGCCG